CAAGGTGGCAAGATCAGTTCACTCCAGCCTGGATGAAAATAACTTTTGCAGAGCAAAGCTCTGTGAAATTAAATGGAAACATCAGTTCTACTCATCTAATTTTGGGAAAATTCTACCAACATTAGCCCTTCATCCCGTTAAATAAATTGAGTACGTATCAGGTCTCCAATGGATGTCACTAAATCTTACTTCCCAAGAGGTAAGCTCGTCCAGCTTGGATTTCACAGAACTGCCTGAATCCCCAACGGAAGTTGTACTCGGGTTGTTATCGTAAAAATGTTTAGTCTCGACATATTGCCATGTTGGTCACGAGGTAGATTTCAATTTTATGCAAGGCCAGACCCCTTCCATAACACATATTTTATAGTTTGATTGTTATCGAAGCAAAGATGTTTGTCCCGGTATAGTTAACGTTGTCAACTACATTTGTATTGAATAGGCTTTTGAGATTATCAGTAGACAATTTTTGTGGGGCTGTCATTTTGTATGCAAGTACAAGACCTCATCGGAAGATGACAGTTCATTGCATCTGTTCTGCAGCCAGTTGGCTTTAATACGAGCAATGGTGAAAAACGAGTCAGCCGCTTTCTTCTGGTGGATCCGTTCAACAAACTTGTTCATTATGCACTTTTATCCTAAATGAACGTCTCCACAACAGTACCATCTTAGAAGATTCATCAAAACCCACTTTTTCTTAGAATATCAGTAGACCTGGGTGAGTAAAAAAATTGTCCATCCTTGGTGAAAAGAACTGATGACTCTTCCGATGGATCGTCTTCGGATAGCATTTTGGTCGTCCTTGGCAAGAGAAGACTAAGGAATCTACTGAAGATATGAAGATCAAGATGTTGTGGCCCCTGGTGTGGTCGCAGTCTCTTTTCGATTTATAGAATGGGTTGACCTCGTTGTCGCAACTTGGTCTTGTTGTCAGGGCGACTTAGTAGAACTCACCATAGTCCGAAGTCGCCTGCCAGAGTAGTTGTCATGATTCCCAGCATCAGACAGTCAACTTGGTACATTCTTAAACGTTTCGCCGGCATCGTAGTCGGCATCATCAGTCAGTTTTGCCATTTGCCGCACCAAGCTACGAACTTGTCAAAGAGTCGCCCTGACAACAGGAGCAAGTTGCGACAACGAGGTCAATCCATTTCTAAGGCATCTACTGCTTGTATATATACTTGTATAAATGTATGTACTTCTATGTACTTGTATGAATGTATGTACTTGTATGAATCTACTTTAAAATGAGCTTTGCGTATCCTTGGTGATAGAGGACTAAGGAAACACTGAAGGATCTATTTCAATAAGTCCTATGGTCATCCCCGGTGATGAAGGCTTAATTAATTCGCTGATAGATCTACTGATGGTTCTATCTCAATAAGAGCTATTGTCATCCTTAGCAATGAATAACTAAAAAGTTCTCTTATGAATCCATTGATGGATCTATATCATTGAAGGTTATGGTGCTCCTTGTTGATGAACGACTGCCAAAGCTATTCATAGTCCCAAACTCGTATTCAATACGAATAACGACATCGACTGGGGCAAAGCAGTTTGACGAACCTTTTTGTAAGACCAAGAAATGCCGATGACAATTAACATATTTACAAGTCCAAGGTAGGCCTCAGTTTTGTATGGATTTAGCAAATTGTCGCCTTTCTGGTTGTACACCGATTCGTTGGAAAATATTTCTATTCCTTGCATAAAAATACTTTACATCTCCACACGAAATTGCAATACCTCCTCGATGTTCCTACTTCTGTGATAAATGGGAAAATATGAATTGCAACAATGCTTAATGCATTGCTATTTTAGTCGTCTCTTAGTTGCAGAAGAACATGATCGTCTGAAGCATTGAGATCCCAAGTGAAAGCACCGACTGGATACAGTCATGTAGAAAAATCTCTGCAAATCTGCAGAATTGTCGGCTTCTGAGATTCATTGTTTCTTCATTCTTGCAAAGAGCATATTTTCACAATCTTGTGTGCACTGATGCAGGCTTAGCTGCTCCTTTACTCCAATAGCATGGGTGCTCTCGGCCTGAATATGCTTAAGTGCATTTCTGCTTTCCAAGCGACCGTAGAAAATATAAGCTTTGAGCTCTGATCGAGTTATCCCGCGGCTCCATTTGGCTGGAGATCGTCAACTCACTCTTAAGATCCATTGAGGTGTATCCATGCCTAAGATTCACTCTCTGCTGCTCTTAGACATGCCGTTGTCGCCTCTCACTCTTTAGAGAGAACGTAACAGCATCTCATCTCAGTTTTTGGTGCGTATGCTCCGTTGAAAGAATTCCTATCCACATGGCACATGCATGCACTCGATTTTTACTCGATCTTCACACAAGAACGGTTACTCATCCCCTTTGGGTATTGTGTCCCGATCTTCGCACGATCTCATGCTTGTCAGATCTATCTTTCTAAAGTGTGATCCGACACTTTATCGGAGAGACTTGTCTTTCGTGTGAAGGTGCATGAGGAAGAGATTTGTTGGTTAATCTAACCCAAATACGACGACTGATTCCCGTTACTCTGCAGCTGTTTGCGCTTAAAACGATGCTCATGCTGACGCAGTCTACGAAGCATCCCTCTTAGTTCTGGGGGAAACTGAGCTTAGTTGTCGCTCATAATGTCAAATGACGGAAATCAGCACAAATCTAAATCAACTTCATCAAAATTTATAAGTTTTCAAGTCACTAAGACTGTCTGGCTTTATCCCATAGGCTATATTTAGTTTTATCGAAGATATGAAGACCAAGATGATGTGGCCCCCGGTTTGGTCGCAGTCTCCTTTCGTTGTATAGAATTTGTTTTCCCAACTTGTTCATATTGGCAGGAAGATCTGGAGGAACAAACTTTGTCCGGAGTCCATAGTATGCATGATAACTTCCGGAGTTGGAACGTGGACTTGATACATTCCCAGACGTTTTGCCGGCATCGTAGTCGGCATCATCAGTCAGTTTTGCCATTCTCCGCAACAAACTACGAACTCGTCAAAGGGACAAGTGAAGTCGATCCCTCGACAAACGTTCTGTCGAAAACGGTTACAATATCACTCTCTTTCTGCTATTGTCTATCTATCTACTCTTTACCCTCTTATTCCACAGCCGCCCAATCACAACTTCTCACTGGTTCACATTCGATACGTCAAAATGTGTGCCCTTTTGTGGGAAATCTAGTGTGGCCTCATCACACTTGCTATTCACCCGGACCGCCTCTCTTTCGATCGGCCTCCGATCCGATCCGGATCTCATCATTGTCTCGTAGATCGGCTCCAGTGCCAGTGTGCATTTCACTCCAGGCGCTTGTCTTTTTGACGAGTTCACAGGTTGGTGCGGAGAATGGCGAAACTGACTGATGATGCCGACGCAACGTTTGACAATGTACCAAGTCGACTGTCTGGTGCTGGGACTCATGACAACTACTATGGCAGACGACTTCGGACTAGGTGCGTTCTACTAAGTCGCCCTGACAACAAAAACAAGTTGCGACAACGAGGTCTACCCTCTTCTATAGGACTAATCAACTTGACGACAAGGACAACCTATTTTACATTCAACGGGACCATCTCTGAACAAATAGTTGGACTTGCCATGGGAAGCGGTGTATTTTCACATCAGCAGGCACTGGGCCCCAAGGAATGAGACACAATTTTGGTGGGGATGACGGAGAGGATACTCGAGTCATGGGTTTGAAGCCTAAGGAGAGCAAGATTGCAAAGCACTGGCATGTTCATGGGCATGGACATCATCTGCTCTAAATCCTCGAATCTGGCGTAGTCGAAGACGACTAGTGAAGGTTTTGGGTAGTCCAATTTCAGACCCCCAAACAGCCATTTTGATGTTCACCTTCGCCAATCGACAGGCGGGTAGGAAAAAAAAGCCTGTGTGTGGGGGGGGGAGCAGAAGGTATGCCAGGAGCTCTTCGAACGGCATCTGGTACCGGTAGTGGGGACGATTACGCTCCACCAAACCCACTTGTGGCGA